AGTTTCATACTATCAGCTGTTTCGCTAACGTTTGACGTGCTCTAACCGCACCAAGTTTCTCACCACCTCTCGCCCGGGCCCAGTTTGTCCACCGGCCTGCGGAGTGAACTAACCGCCAGCGCCGTCCTCTCACAGAGGCCGCCTCAAACGAGACGGGGGAGGGCGCCGCCGAGCCGCCGGCCGAGCAGGGTGAGGCCGCGCCGGCCGCGGACCAACAGCAGGCGGAGGAGGAGAAGGAGGCGACCGCCGAGCCGTCTGACGCGTCCGAGGAGAATGACGCAGAGTCGGATAAGAGGAAAGGTACGCGCGTGGTGGCTGGTTACGTGCGGGGCCGTCCGTGGTACCGGTCCCGTTACGGCTGGCACACGGGACTCCGGTGATACCAGCGGCGGCACTGCGGCATCTGAGATCGAGGCTATTTTATCATTGAAACTACACTGTGATACCGATTGCTTTATTTTTTTGCGGAAAAAAATAAACAGTTCTGACTTTCTTCTCTTTTCTTTTGAATGGCTGAAAATGTGAGTGTGATGTGAAGTTACTCTAACCTGCTTGTGCTAAATTTCCTTATTTTCAATTTATTTCCAATAACCTTATGCTCAATGTCGGGCAAGTCCACCGCTGACACCGCTGCCTGTCTGTTTGCAGACGAGGAGCAGCCTAGCCCTGAACTGCACACGGAACTGTAGCCGGCCAGTGAGCGGCGCCACCGGGCCGACCGAATCTCCGGCCGCCGAGCCGGCCCACTCAGAGGACATGGCCGACGGCAGCAGCCCGGGGGGCGCCTGGCCCCGGGTCACAGCGGCCCGGCCGCAGAGCGGTCTCTTTTGACGAATGCTGGACGGAGTGGGAGGGCGCTATGAGTCAGAGATGGATGTTATTATTTATTGCCGCCGGTGCATTATGTTCACATTCCAAGCTGGTGACTGTATTAGGCCGGTGGCACCGGGCCCGGTCCGTCGCTCGTGTTGTGTGTGTTGGTGTGGGGGGAGGGGGTCCTTTGCCCAGCTCCGGGGGCAGTGCGGTCGGACCGACACGCCACCAGCCGCAGCGCACATGCTGATAGTATTGTGATTGGAATGTGAATGGTTACGAAATTCAGGGGTGTGGACTGTGGATGTTATGGTTCTTATTATTCACGGACGGAATGGTTTGAATGCACTTGTTTTGTTAGAACAATTCGATTGTAATGAAATAAAGCACCTTTGGAGGATTGATTGGTCTGCGTTTGTTTGCTTGTGATTACAAACCCATATGGAGCATCATGCAAATTCACTAGACCGGATGATTGAACAGAGAGTTTTCGTCGAAATGGATTTACTTTTTGCGGTTTTGCGAAACCCTCTCAAATGGCTAGGTTCAAGATTACATGGAGCATGATTACTTATAACTGGATAGGATGAATGTGGGCGCATTTGGTAGCACCACTTAAAAAACTTAAAGCGAATCTGGCGCTCTTGTTTCAATACTCGATTATCAAAATAATGTTCAGCTTTCGGTTAAAACTGCTGATCTAGCTTATTGACGTCAACTCAGAATCAGTTCACCAATGAACACAGCGAAAGAAACAAATTGAGACACAACCTTCCCCAGCTTAGAACAAAACTACTCTGGCACTAGAAAGCCCGTGTTGTTTGTATTGTTATGGAATAATTTGAAAAGCGTGCTGCTTGAGGAAGTTATTATTAAGCATTTGGGAAATTTTAGGTAATTTAGTAATTTTTATGTGCCTTTGTACTCTCATCCTCTCCGGTTTTCTGTCTCACTATTCTTAAGTTCATTTATGCTCCTTATTGTTATGCCTCGTGGCCTGGCTTGCAGCTCATTTTGCTATTTTGACTTGCCTGCGGACTGCGGTTTTAATAATTCCTTTGTGGTTTCAGCTGTGTTCCTTGCACATCATTTCCTCAAAGTGCTCTGGGCCCATACAACAGTTCAGAATGGTGCTTGCCATCGCCAGGCGCCTGCATGGCACCACCCTGCTCAAAATTTGGGACACGGGTGAAAACGGTGCTGGAGGGCATATTTGGTCACATGATTTTTAAGAAGCTATCCCCCTCTCAATGCTTCCTACACTGTGGTTGTCATGTGGTTTGCGCGAGTGAATTTCAAGAGCCTTGATCAAATTGCCCCAGGCAACAATTTGATTTCAACAAAGTTTTCACCGTCGTCCAAAATTTGTGCCTTTTCACAGTGAAAGCCGCTCAATCCTTAGTCTGCACCAAACCTGGCATCAGCTGACTATTCTCTTGAACTCTTCATTTAAAAGATCTCATCATAATTACCATGTTTTTCAGTGTATGCACCAGACAATGACTGTTTTGCTGAGTCAGGGAGTGTTTGAATTTGTTTTGGGACTAACGGGTGTCTACTAATTAATGAGAAAGTTTAAAGGCCTATATCTCGGGTATTTTGTAACTTAGATAGTCGAAAATTCGCATGCTTATGCATCCTTCTATTGGTTATCAAATATCTTCAGCGCAGCACACTGAGCACACCATGTTTCACGTCACGCCGCACGCGCCACCCGACCCCCTTCATCAAACGTCGCGGCACCTCCACGTCAAACGAGACCGATAATTCCCGCCTTCCCGTCTTCAGATGTCGGTCCAAAGCTACAGTCTTGTCCCCTGGATATATTTCTTTCTTGACAAAGCCTCACAAGTATTCAATCGGCCACAGCTGCGACACGCAGGGTGGATTATCTTCTCGATCTTTCATGGGTACGCCGACCCCCTCAACATTGTGATGGTTTTAATTGCATAATGGACGAAAACTAGGTCAAATCAGAGTGCATAGTCGCCATTTAGGTAGTATTCGTCTTTTTTACCTTGGTGCCCTAAAAGATAAGAAATCAACGCATTTATTTGCCGTCCCTCGCGCTAAAGAACATCCTCCCAATGATAACTCATTTTGGACACATGAATGGCAGCACCTCCCCTTCCGGAGAGACCGTCTAGCCACATCAGTAAGCTGGAAACCGGTAAGGAGACGTGTCCACAGATTGCAGTTGTATCCCCCCTCACTTGATCATACAAACCGGCAATATATGACATATCTGTTCCTGGGTAAGTCAAACAGCTCTCGTGACCCATTACCATATCAATGCGTTCTCACCAGTTGACAGCTTGCCCCTGATTAGCCAACGCAAACGCTGTTATTCTCTGCGTTGCCGCGCTTGGGTGACCTCAGGTGCCTGTATGCACCTCCGGTACTCAATTGCACATTTTCTAAAGCAAAAATTACGACATAATAGTGGCAAATATAGTGGCGTCACACCAGCAGGCTCATTGACACCACTCACTTTGCCCTTCGCACCCCATCGAAGGGGACCTTGTTTCTGTAGCGAAACTCGCAGAGTTGCAGCCACTTCAAACCTTTTCCAGGGCCTCGTTTCATAAAAGGAATTACTTACGGCGTTCCGTCAATTATGCCAGATTTGGCGTATTTGATGCCAATTCGGTTTCATAAAGCCGGAGACCGGAGTAATTCACGCCATCGAAAGTACGGAGCTTCATTTACGGCAAATGCTCGATTCCGGACCAATTGATGCCATTTGGGTTTCATAAAACGACGTAATTAACGCCAAATATTTTATCAAGCTCTTGATATCAGTGGTGTAAACTACGCACAAAAATGTTGCGTGATTTTGAATTAATGTGAAGATTCTAAGCTAATTTTTAACATATTTTATAATTTTGAGCCAGGTGAGGAAGAAAGAACAGCCAAAATGAGAAAAAGAAACTGCAAATCTTCTGTATCAGCCCCCTCCAAAGTCATATGGCAGCATGGGCGTGACTTTTCCTACTAGCCCATAGGGTTGCGTGTTAAAATGCGACTTTTCGCGCTCGATTTTCAAGGTTTCGTAGTGTGGGCATCCACACACAAAGTATGTCAAAAGATAGCTACAACATTTTTATTTCCATTTTTGGACGAAAAGTTCAAGCCCATCCAACCGTTTTCGAGATATTCGTCTATATATGACCCCATGTTTTTGATACATCGGAAGGTCCTGTGTTCGAATCTCGGACAGATCAAAACTTTTATCGTCAATGTGCGGCAAACCATTGCTGCAAAGTAAAGTAGGGGTGAGCGCGCTGGTGATGGAGGGTTGTAAGTTGGTATACCTGACCTTTGATTCAAGCCGGATTTTGTGGCACCAACCTCATTTTCAGGTCAGGTCAGGTCACTGACCTATGACGTCATAAGTGAACCTCTGCACGGTCTAGAAAACGTCGTAACATAGCAACTCCATCAATTCAAGGAGATCTATCGCAGGTAGATGAAACTTACAGAACTTATCAAACTCCCTAATTCTCAAAAGCGTTAACTTTGGATTTCTCCTAAGGGTCACCTAACGTCAGGTCGGTCAGGTGATCTGGCCATTATAAGCCGATGGGGGGGGGGATATAGAGACAGCTATTTTGGCGCTGACAGTGATCTTAGACGGAAAAGACACAAATAGACTCAGAAAGACCTTCCGAATTGAATAACGTGCAACTTGACCTCATCATGAGGTAATGACCTGACCTGACATTGGACGGAGGTCAACATCCTAAATTGACCTCACCCATAGAAAAAGCATATCATTCGACGTGGCTGAGCATCACGAACACGATGATGTCAAAATTGCAGTTCTGATACCATTTTAGGCGACTACCGAACAATCCACTTCCTGGTATGCCAATGCTTTTATTATCTGAAGACGATGAACACTGAACATTCTCATATATGCAAACATGCCACTTTGGGTTACAGAGTAAGTGGTTCCCAATCGTACCTACTTACTACACGTCCTACACATCACACTACCGCTCGTAAGTGCAATGCAAATAAGCTTTGGCTCGTTGGAAATAAACTTTGGCATTGGAAAATGTCACGGTATTACAAAACATTGACCACAATTAGATATCAGGTATCAATATCAGTAACATTCAGCTCATCCTCAACACATAACAATCAGACGGAGAACACTACGGTAAACCTCAAAGAGGCAATGAGGCCATGGTAGGCAATGAGGCATAGCTGCGAGCAGGATCTTCGATCTGAGAAAACATGAAGATGAAATTACATGCATCACACTTGCAATAAAAACAAACTCAAGTGATACTTATCTTTGAAAAATCAGGATGAAAGAACATTAACCTATTTGAAAACATAACAAGCATTATCAGAGGAATAGTTAATGCATGGTTATTTAAAAGACCTGTTAATATTAAGGTAGTGGATTGTTAACAGGATCTTAGAATGGTCGAGAGATGTTACCTTCAGAAGGGTTTCCTTTCGTGGTCACACATTATTGATGTTAACAAATGAACACTGGGTGGTGCACACCCTGAAAGTGACAGCTTCACACAAGCTGTTGTCTATGTTGAAAACTAGGCTTCCTTCCTGTTCAGATTAAGACAGTTGATGGCACCTTTGGTTAGCTTTGTTCAAGGAAGCATTCATTTTACCAGTGTCGGTAGGGCAGCCTGGCTACATATAGGAATCTTGAGCCAGGCACAGCATACATGTAGTAGTGCATGTCTTGTCCTGAAAAAGGATCAGAGATATATGGCTAAGGAAGTTATGAATGGAATTGACTCAGGCTGCTTTGAGGATGATTGACCACAAAGACATGGCTATTGTGAAAGCCCTGAAATAACTTATGAACTGGTGTGCTTTGAGTGAAGTGGAATATCAAGAACAACATTAAAAAAGAAAAAGTAAAAATTGACCTAAAAATTATCTTCCATGTTTAGTTTCAATCACCTAAATCTTACGTGTTTTCATACAAACTAAAATTACCAAGAAATTGCACAATTATCACTTACATGTGGCAACAAATGCTTCTTTCTACTTACTATCCACTTTCATGGATGCAGGATGCATGTGTTTTGATTTCATTATCACAGCAACACATTTGTACGAGATGCTTACACAAAGCATTATGTTATATGTTGATGTTATTCAGCTAGAGCCTGGGACAGTGATATTGTATTGTTAAGTTTGTTCAAAACCAATGTCCCAAAATTTGCCAGTTTTGGGTGGGAAATGACATCCAACTGAAATCAATTTTCCACTTTCATCTCCAATTTTCAAGAACAATTTTTCACACTGAAATAAAATTTTGGGACACTGTTCACTGTTCATAAGTCATAACACCAGCTTCATTTCTTAGTAATGATAGCTTTCAGAAGACTTCAGTCTTCCTTCATCAGCCTGTCAGGGCTCTAAAAATACATACAAACGAGTAGTGACCAACATAGAAAAGACAATACACAAATGTCGTACCGTAAAATGGGGTGTTAAGGGACAGTGGGGTGTTAAGGGACAGTTGCATGGGAAAAACTTTGAGTCATATTAACTTCCTTATTTGAGAAGGTTCAATAAAAACTTCAGTGTGGTAGTTGACACTGTTTTGCTCTTGACCAGAGGAGAAAATGGTATGGTTTTTCATGCAAGTGATTTGGTTCAAAAATGGATTTGAAAATCATGCTACATTTTCACAAAATTGAAACATCTCCAAAACTCTGTGTGTACTACATAAACTAGTGGGTGTACAGGGAAAATGAATGCATAGGTGTATTGTCACATGTATTGCACATGTTTCCTGAAAAACTTGTGCAAATCCACCCATTCATTCATCATCCTCTTCCTCTTTTCCGGATACATGCATATTTTGAGGTGGATGTGGGGTGCTAAGGAACAGGGAAGAAAAATAAAAAATAATATCTAAATATAATTTAATTAAGTAGGCATGGAAAACACCAAATTCCACATAAAATGCTGGCAAGTTCATGCTTTTATCTCTAACACATCTTAAGTTATGTAACAAAACATCTCAACACTCTCTTTTACAATGATGGGTCAATGGAGACTGATGTAAGTAAATGTGATGTCATCATAAAAAGGCTAAAACAAAGAGGGCAACATAATGACAAGTGACAAGCTTCAACATGGGTTTTTATTGATGACAGAAGATTACTTTTTGGTTCTGTTTACCTTATAATTAGCACATTTTCCACAAGCGTAAACTGCATTACACGTAATTGGCTAAAAAGGTCATTAGTGGTGAATGAACCTGACTTGTTTTGTGACAGAATATGCAAAACATTTCAATAAATAAATTGTGTGCCCTTCCACACCCCAATTCTGGGCATTCGATGACCATTTCTTGGAATAATATAGGTGTCCCTTAACCCGGCAGTTGCTGGGGTATTTCGCCACCCACCGTTTGCTGGGGGTGGGCGTTAAACGCCCCCAGCCGATAACTCGAGAACCAATAGGCGCAGCGAAACGCACGAGGCGGCAAACGAAAGAGCGCGACGAGACGCTTCAGATGAGTACTTTAAAGTTGAATTTTGAGGTCACAGGTCGGGTCAAGGTCAGGTCAAACACCTGAAATCGGGCTTTCAGTAGCATGGATTTCAGGACATTGCAATGGGCGACTCTCACCATAAACTCTGTCAAAACGGTGCACAATCCATCTTATAAGGCCTACAAGAGTCTCAGCTCCATGTAGGGGTCAGTCAAGCATAGGTCAGGGTCAAGGTCAGGTCAACTGGGTAGGCACATATCCCCGAAAATCAAAACTGATATTCGCAGCCTGTGACACATGTTTAATAGGTAATTTGGGGCGTAGAAGACGATGGTGACATTCATTTTATCATATGTGTACGTGTTTGGCTAAAAAAGTTCAACTTAAAAAATTCATGTATCATGGTCGTAAAGTAGTCACGAAAAATTGCCAAGATTCAGTTCAAGATTATGGAAAATGCGGAACGATAATCAAAAATCGAAGATAGCCATTTGATTGATCATGGTATTGGCAGTCTAATGGCGTTTACGGCATGTCTGTATGTCTATTCTGTGATTTTATATGATTTTTTGAACATATGCCGTTTTTGTCGAAAACTCAGAAATCATGACGTCACTAAAACCTCGATATCTCAAAAATTTTCCAACCGATTTTTTTGAAACTTTGTCACAATAAACTTCAATCAATTCCCTACAGGTACCCAAAATTTGGCGCGCCTGCGGCGCGCCGTTTTTATGCTATGGCCCGGCGAAAAAAGTGGGGGCGTTTAACGCCCCCCCCAGCAACTCGCGGGTTAACACCCCACATTGGGGTGCTAAGGGACAGTGATGAAAAATAATAAACAATTAATATGCAGGTATAAATCTTAAAAACTTCAATGTGGCAGGCATGTAAAGCACCAAATTCCACATAAAATGCTGACAATTTGATGCTTCTATCTCCAACCCTTCTTGAGTAATATAACAAAACACCTCAAAACTGTCCCTTAACACCCCGTTTTACGGTACGAAAACTGCCATTGCAAATAGATAAAGCCGGTGTACGCAATCTTTGCAATACGATTATACCAAATATGCTCACAGCTAAGTCAAAAGGTGTCACCATGCATCACAATTGGTAAAATTCCTTGAAACTTCTTTTTTAAAACATTGTTACGCAACAGTGAAAGAATGAGACAGCATGAGGCTGGCCCACCACCCAGTCAAGTACAGCAGTTTGCAAATTTGCACACAGTTACTCAGAAAGGCCTTTGTTCAAACAATTCCATGCATAATGAAGAGCCAATTTTTTAATTCACACGATAGTTATTAAATACTTAGCCAGCACAATTTGTAAGTCTTTAAATGAAGGGAGAACACCATGGAACCTCGTGAAACGGGTGACATTCATAAGTACCAGAGTACAGTTGTACCCAGGTTACACCGGGACCAAGGTTACACAGGGGCCCAGGTTACGTTCGGCCCCAGGATTTGAAGGGACCATGAAGACGCAAGTACCATACTGTGATTGGTCGTTGGCAGACGGGAATGACGTAATGCATCCCTGTGGCGGCCGTGACGTTGACCAATAGGAGGGGCGGATACAAATTTGGACCACCTTGGTACACTACTTGGCAGTGTGCTTGTGATTGATTTTCTCGAGATTGAATTGAGGTAGCGCCGTCCATCGCCCGCCGCGGCGGCGCCCAGGCCCGATGGTCATCCGGTGTGGCGGGAGGTGGCGTCCCTCGGCCCCCCGCGCGGCGGGAAGTAGCGTGCTGCGGCGTCCGAAGGAGAAGTGAAAATGATCCCTTGCACGAATTAGTGTTCGCAGCGGCTACTTAAATTGCAGGAGGGGGAGGAGGCAGGGGCGTCGCCACGGATTTTTGAGTGGGGTGGGGTCGGGTTTCCGGTCTTCGTCTTGTTGGGTAGAGGTGTTATTAGCCACACTCCCGGTTTTTTTCATGTGTTGAGAAAAATCTCGGCGCGCAGCGCCACGAAAGCAGCGGTCTACATACAGCACTTTTGCATCGTGCATAAAAATCAAGCACAGGCCACCTGAGGTCAGGTCACAATGTCATGTTCAGTTCAGTTTTAATGCCTCTAAAAGCTGCAATCTTGTCATTCCCATAGATTTGCCTGTCCCGTAGCTCAGTTGGTAGAGCATTGGACTCCCGGTAGTGAGAGCCCGGGTTCGAGACGCCCCGGCGCTCGATATTTGAGACTCCTGACGGGGATGGTCTGCGGTTGGTGAGCAGCCGCAGCCAGTTGAAGCCAGTTGAGTGGGGCAGGCCGTGTCCGGCTTTGAAGGGCACGTTAAAGGGACCCTCCCACCTTAACATTAGTTTTGAGTTGAGATAGCCAAGTTTGCGGCCAGGCTCAGAAACCACCATTTATCCTGGTCGCAACCCCCGCAGCTTTATGGTGTTCAAGAAATTTCTTCCCTTTACTTGCAGGGTGGGACCAGCGTGGTCCCTATCTCTTAACCATTACGGGAATCTGATGACGTCATCAGGCTCTCGAACGTCCGTTAAATGTTTGACTAAAACGTTTTGTAGCACGCGGTGGTATATGCTGCTTTGCGCGCAACAAATGCCGCACTTTCAAATAAAGTCGCTAGGAACAGCGGAGATCCCAAAAAGTAAACAAAAGTAAAAGTCTAATATCTTGAAAACCGGTGAATATTTTTCGGTGAAATTTGGTAGATATTCGTTTTCGCTCTTTCTGAACCGAGCGACATCACTTTCATGCCAATTCATTAACTTTTTTGAAGGTGGGAGGGTCCCTTTAAACTTTGGCATCTAAATTATCCCGATACCCGGAATTGCACGATCGGACGGTAGGGATCGGGGTCTACGCAACAAGCTCTGCTTAGCGTGGGCTCCGGCTCTGTCCATTCAATGTCCATTCAAACATTCGAGCTAAATTTATTAAAAAAAAATTATCTCCTATAAGTCTGAAATTTGTTGTAATGAATGGGATTATAAGTGCCAACAGTTAATGAATCTGGGATTTTACATCTGAAAAGTGAAGTCAGGTCAAATATGTGACCTCACCAATCAATCATGATAAGATATGGGAAAATGCACGAGATGCCCTCTGCTTTGAACGAATATGCTAAAAACGCTATGAGATACTTTTGTAGCCATGGCACCTCTGCTCATTTTAGAGACAAGGTGCAGCTAATGACCAGTGGTGACTCGAATGGTCAGTCATTACTATTAGTTAGGTCATCAAAGGTCTCTAACACATTTTCGACAACAACTTTTGATGGAGACGCTGTAGAGCGATGACAGCACCTGGAGTGTGTTCAGTGTGTGTTCAGTGTTCAGCACCAGTGTTCAGTGCTGGAGTGTCAAGTGTTCAGCTCAGCAACACAGATCGATCGCACATTTTTGCAGCGGGTTCTTTTCCGGTCAGGACATGACCATTGATTAACCTTTACCTACCTGATGTCAAGTTTTCTAGTTAAGTTCTTAAAGGAAATAGTTCACTTTCACGAAAATATTTTTTTTTGCAACGATTTATGATTTTTTATGTTCAAAATAATCAGCAAAGAAAATAAAACCTTTTTATAACAAAAGATTTTTTTTCTATATTTTGATATAGGAAGAACTT